AATAAAAATAATAATTTAAAATGAATTAATGAGGGGTTTCCTTCTTTTTTTGTTTTTCTAAATGAAGCTGGAGCGAGCGGTAACTCTTTCCTCTTGCTCCAACAGCTTCAGCAGCTGAGCAAAGGTTTTTACCGGTTGGGGGGGCTGCAGAGTTGAACTTTTGAACTAAAACTTTCTTCCCGCACTGCCCATCAGCGTGAAACCCTGCATGAGGTGATCAATGTGCGTGGCTGCATCCATGCAGTTAACCTCTGGATGAGTGACAACATTGGAATAACCATCGCCCTCTGCTGCGCCATCGGACTGCCACAGGTAATTAGAAACCCAGTCCCCCAGTCCTCCGAGACGGAACCGCATCTTTTTAGGATTAATGCGGCTCTAGAGCTGCGGCCGTTTATTGTATCTGTAACCTCACTGTCATGTTTTAATCTTTGGAAAGTTTCGGAAGGATGTTTCTCTCTCTGCTTCAATCAGCACTTTTGTTTTTTTAACTTTCCATCTATTTAAACGGCAGATTTGTTTTCTTTGCAATATAAACATGAAACATTTCCAGGAAGTCCAGCAGATGGGAGTAATTTGGAGCTTTTTTGGTGTCTGGTAGCAGTTGTTTTCTCTTCAGCTATGAACAGACAGAAGTAATCCACAAGTTTGTGGAGTTTAAAGCATCATGTTTTTTTTTTTATCTATTTATTATTTAAGAAATGTGGTTTTCATTCATTACCAGAAAGCGACAGGTCATAACCTGAATAGGCTTTCCTCTGTGAATTTATTCTCATAATATTACAACTTTATTGTGAAAGTGTTACAAATTTATTCTCATAATATTACAACTTTATTGTGAAAATGTTACAAATTTATTCTCATAATATTACCACTTTATTATCATAATATTACAACTTTATTATCATAATATTACAACTTTATTGTGAAAATGTTGCGAATTTAATCTCATAATATTAAGACTTTATTCTAATGTTGTGGATTTATTCTCATAATACTACGACTTTATTGTGATAATGTTGTGAATTTATTCTCATAATATTATGACTTTATTCAAATAATGTTGTGAATTTATTCTCATAATATTACAACTTTATTGTGAAAATGTTGCGAATTTAATCTCATAATATTACGACTTTATTCTAATGTTGTGAATTTATTCTCATAATAGTACAACTTTATTGTGAAAATGTTGTGAATTTAATCTCATAATATTAAGACTTTATTCTAATGTTGCGGATTTATTCTCATAATATTACGACTTTATTGTGATAATGTTACGACTATTCTC